GCAGGGTTTTGTTGTTTGGTGTCATCGTTATGGAAATAAATCTCCAAGTCTTTGTCCTGTGTGGGTTCTAACTGATGATTCTAGATTAGGAACCAAGTGCTTAATCACTGTGCCACCAAATTTAAAAAAGTAATAAAACCTCCCATTGACTGAGTTCAAACTCATAGTGACCCTGTCTAGGGTTTCCAAGGCTGTAGGTCTTTATGGGAGTGGAAAGCCTCATCTTCCTCCCGCAGAGTCGCTGGTGGGTGGAAATGCTGACTGTCTGCTTAGCAGTCTTTTGCTTACCCTGCAGTGCCACCAGGCCTCCTCAAATCTTCCAAACTCCAATAAGAAATATAGACCCTAGCTGCATGCATGTGGAATCCTTGCGTAGAATTCACGCGGAAGAAAGTCCTGGCTAACACTGTCCCCTCGAGAGCCAGCCCGCTGACCCGCAGAGTGTCCCAGGCTCCCTCTTCTCACTCCATTGTTTGTCTTACTGCTTCTTAGCAGGTATCTGCTGTGGATGAGCGGAGGCCCGGCCGGTGGGCAGGCCCCGGCGGAACCGTGATGGACAACAAGGGCCTAGACCAGGGCTCGCCGGCCGACCTGAAGTTGGTGGCGCACCCTCGCGCCAAGAGCAAGGTGTGGAAGTACTTTGGCTTCGACACGGACGCGGAGGGATGCATCCAGCAATGGAAGAAGATATACTGTCGAATCTGCATGGCTCAGATCGCGTACTCCGGCAACACCTCCAACCTGTCCTACCACTTGGAGAAGAACCACCCCGAGGAATTCTGTGAGTTTGTCAAGAGCAACACAGAGCAGATGCGGGAAGCCTTTGCCACTGCCTTCTCCAAGCTCAAGCCCGACGCCTCGCAGCAGGTTGTTCAGGAACCCCTGGCTGCCAAGTCGGGCCACAGCTACGAGAGCAAGAAACAGCAGGAGCTAACAGCCGCCGTGATGGGCTTCATCTGCGAGGGCCTCTACCCTGTGTCTGTGGTGGACGAGCCCACGTTCCGGCTCCTGCTCAAGACGGCCGAGCCTCGGTACGAGCTTCCGGGCAGGAAATTCTTCTGCACCAAGGCCATCCCCGAGAAGTACGGCGCTGTCCGCGAGGCTGTGCTCCGGGAGCTCGGGGACGCGCTGTGGGTGGGCGTGTCCATGGACGTTTGGCGGAGCGGCAACCAGAACCGAGCCTACGTCACTCTGGCTGCCCACTTCCTCTCTAGCATGCCCCCCAACTCCCTCTCACTGGGCTCCCGCTGCCTCAAGACTTTCGAGGTTCCTGAGGAGAACACGGCCGAGACCATCACCCGGGTCCTCTATGAGATCTTCATCGAGTGGGGTCTCAGCTCCAAGGTCTTCGGGGCCACCACGGACTACGGCAAGGACATCGCCAAAGCGTGCTCATTGCTGGACATTCCCATCCACATGCCGTGCCTGGGGCAGACCTTCAACGCCGGCATACAGCAGGCCTTTCAGCTGCCCAAGCTGGGCAGCCTGCTGTCCAGGTGCCAGAAGATGGTGGAGTATTTCCAGCAGTCCACGGTAGCCATGTACATGTTGTTCGAGAAACAGAAGCAGAAGGACATCCCTCACGGCATGCTGGTCAGTAACCGCGTGTCTTGGTGGGGCAGTACGCTGGCCATGCTGAGATGCTTGCACGAACAGCAGTTTGTCATCACGGCCGTGCTAGTGGAAGACAGTAACAACCACCACCTAATGCTGGAAGCTTCCGAGTGGGCCACCATCGAAGGCCTCCTCAGTCTTCTGCAACCTTTCAAGCAGGTGGCTGAGATGTTGTCCGCCTCCAAGTACCCCACTATCAGCATGGTGAAACCCCTCCTCCACATGCTTCTCAACACCACGCTCAACATCAAGGAGACGGATCCCAAGGAGATCAGGATGGCCAAAGAAATCATTGCCAAGGAGCTGTCCAAGACGTATCAGGAGGCGCCCGAGATAGACATGTTCCTCAACGTGGCCACCTTCCTGGACCCTCGCTACAAGAAGCTGCCCTTCCTCTCGGCGTTCGAGCGTCAGCAGGTCGAGAACAGGGTGGTGGAGGAAGCCAAGGGGCTCTTGGATAAGGTCAAAGACAGCAGCTACCGGGCGGCGGCCGAGGACAAGATGTATGTGCTCCCCGAGGAACCTCCGGTGAAGAAGCTCGTGTTGCCGTCCACGCCACCGCCCACCAATGTCATCAACAACATGCTGGCCGAGATCTTCTGCCAGGCGGGGGGCGTGGAGGACCAGGAAGAGTGGCACGCTCAAGTGATTGAGGAGCTCAGCAACTTCAAGTCCCAGAAAGTGCTGGGACTTGGCGAAGACCCCCTGAAGTGGTGGGCTGACCGCCTGGCTCTCTTCCCCTTGCTCCCCAAAGTGCTGCAGAAATACTGGTGCGTGGCGGCCACCCGTGTCTTCCCCGAGCGCCTCTTTGGCTCCTCGGCCAACGTGGTCAGCGCCAAGCGGAACCGGCTGGCCCCCGCGCACGTGGACGAGCAGATCTTCCTGTATGAGAACACACGCAGTGGGACGGAAGCCGAGCTGGAAGATGAGGACGAAGGGGAGTGGGGTCTCAACCAGGAGCAGGTCTTCCCCATGGGGGACGCGGTTGGCGTGGGCAGCGGATTCTTTGGGATGCGGGATGGAACGTTCATTTAGTGGGTGCAGAGGGGGGCTTCCACTGGATGGGACTCGTGGTCAGGCTGGTTGGGACTTAAACTGCGAACGCACGCAGGCTTTGGAACAAGAAGGGGAAGGAGAGAGAAGCAGAGAACTTTGAGTGGGAAATTAGTGTGACAAATTGGACATTTTTACCTGAGAGTTGACATCATGTTCCTTCATCTTGGAGGAAAATCGAAATGACACATCGAACAATCCAATTTCCTGCTGCTCACAGACCTTGTCCAAGAATTGCCTGAGCAATTCAAACCTTTGAGGGTCTTGGAAGTACGTGGCAGGTTGGCAGTTCAAACCTATCCGGAGGTGCCTTGTAAGAAGGGTGTGGTGATCTTCTTAAAGAAAGATCGCAGCTTTGAAGCTAGGGCACGCAGGTTTACTATGACACACCTGGGGCCAATTGAAATCCACAAGACGGCACCTCGCAACAACGATAATATATACGTTGTGAAGTCTAACAAAGGGAAATTTCTCTGAGGAGGGTGAAGGGAATAGAATTAGAATAGAATTGGGAATGCCTGAGTGGTGGTAATGGTAGCTGGGAGGCTGTTGGTTCAAACCCAGCCTAAGGTGCGTCGGAAGAAAGGTCTGGCGATCTGTTTCTAAAAGATCCATTTCAACAGCTGATGAAAATCCCGAGGAGCACAGTTTTACTCTGACACACGTGGGGTCTCTGTGAGTCAGAATCGACCGGAAGGGAGTTAGGAAGACGCACAAGGAGAAAGAATCGCCAAACACTAAATTCCGTTCACAGTGGGAAGCCAAGAGTTGAAGCAGAAATCTGAGAAGCTTGTCTTCAGAGACTCGTTTAACACGGCGTAGCACGCGCTTCGGGTCTTCCCTGGGAGGGTTTTGAATCAGTGAGACACAAAACCTAAGTTTTACATGCAACATGACTAAGTCATAACATAAAGCAAGACGAATCTGGAGAGGCAGAAAATAAACAACTGGGCCGCTGTTCGTAACCATGTTGCAATTTTAACAGGAGGTGTAAAGTGGGAAAACGTTCATTCCCCTTGGAAAGAAACTTTTGCCTTCAGTGGACGAACAATAGCAGCCTGAAATGCAAACACTTAATATAAAAAAAAGACACTGTGTGTGTTGTCTCTCCTATCTTGCTGTATCTAACTTCTGTCTTGCAGTATTTCTCAACATGCTCCAGGTTTGGCCCAGAGCCAAGTCTCTTGGGTTTCCTGGGTTGCTTCTTTGTGTCTGAATGCTGATGATTTGTGGAGAAACCGCTCTGCAATCCTATTAGAACCTTTCAGCAGTTACAGTGAGCTGCCAAGGAGTGTTTCTGAATGATTGCGGCCCTTGGGGTGGTGCATACTGGTTAATATGCTTAGCTGCTAACCCAAAGCTTGGACGTTCAACTCCTCCCAGAGGTGATGCATAAGAAAGTCCTGGCAATCTAATTCTGCAAAATCCGTTGGGGTCAACTGTATGATGAAATGTTTTAGATTTTAATACGGGAATAAAACATTCCGTACATACAGCAGCAACTGTTGTATTCTCTCTTTAAAACTCTACCAAACCCAACCGTCTGATGCATAGGGATCTGAAAGGACAAGGTAGGGTCAACCATGGCAGGCAGGGTTCAGCAGAGTTTATAGACTTAAGAGTAGGAAGAAAGGACTGGCGATCTTTACCTGGTTGCTGTTCAGTTAACTGCGACTCGAAGAGACCCTATAGGACAGAGTCCAACCACCCACAGGGTGTCCAAGGCTGTAGTGTTTTATGGGACCAGACGGCCACGTATGTCTCCCACTGAGTTGCTGGGTTTAAACTGCCAACCTTTATATTAGTAACTGAGCAGTTAACCAGAGTACCACCAGAGCTCTTTAGTTAAACACCAAAACCCCAAAACCAAGCCATGTAGGGCGGAGAAGAACTACCCCATAGGGTTTCCGAGGCTGTAAATCTTTATGGGAGCAGACTGTCTCATCTGTCTCCTGCGGAGTGGCTGGTGGGTTTGAACTGCCTACGTATCAGTTAACAGCACAACGTGTAACCTTCTAAAACCTTGTTGTTGTTGTTGTTGTTATGTGCCTCCAGCGCAGTTAATCGGCATTGTAGGTTCAACTCTGCACTTGTAACTGCAAGCTCAGTGGTTTGAATCCACCAGCCGCTCCTTAGAAACCCTATACAGGCTCACTGTGAGTTGGAACTGAATCAACAGCATATAATACTTTAGGGAAACACAAATGCTTCAAAATGTACACCTGCTTTTTTAACACTGCGAAAAATGCCCCTAAAGTACCTCCGCATTTACAAGTAGGAGTCTAAATTAAACCAGATCACGTTGGGAAGCTGGTATATAGGGTGTTTGTGGTTTAGAAGGCGTCACAAACGGTGAGCATGCTTGGCCGCTAGCCCACAGGTTGAAGGTTCGAATCCTCCCAGAGGTGTGTCTGAAGAAAGGCCAGGCGATTTTCCTCCTGAAACAACAGCTACTGAAAACCCTTTAGGGCATAGTTCCAGGACTTAACATGGGGTCACGTGGTCTCAGCGACAACAAACAGGAACAAAATGGAGATGTAGCTGCGAACCGTGTTTGACTGTTTTCTTTTCATCTTTTGTATGTTTGCTTTTTAAAACTGTTTTTGTAAGTCCTGCCCATCTGGTATTATTCTCAGCCATTGGGAATGTTGAATGCACTTTGGATCTTTTTGGATGATGATTTCTGATTTAAATAAAGCTGCCAGCTGGGCAAACATTCCAGGGATAGTGTTTCCGTCTTTTCTGGGATTTCTCTATCATAGAAATGGTAGTATGGGAAATGGTTTTTATAAAGTGGCTCTGTGTTTGACAATAAAGCCTGGTCTGTTGGTGAGCCCTACAGGAATGCTCGTGGAACAGTGGTTAAAGCCTGAACTGTTAATACAGAGGTGGGTGGTTCAAGTCTACCTGCTGCTCCACAGAAGAAAACAAGGTGGATGACCACGTAGGAAACCCTATGGGCAGTTCTCCTCTGTCACATGGGGGCGCTGTGAGTGGATGATCTATAAGAGTATATATGAGTATATAGTGACACAATAGATGACAGCCTAGGAAACCCTATGGGGCAGTTCTCCTCTGTCACATGGGGGCGCTGTGAGTGGATGATCTATAAGAGTATA